TTGACCAGTGATATTTCCGCATTGTAAAGCAGATTGGCGATATATCAAAAATGAAGTATAAAAAAATGCAAAAATGGAAAGTAAAGGAAAGGGGAATTTTAACATACGTTAAAGGCAATCGTGAAGGAAAATTATTTGTTTGTGCGTTTGGGGTTTGACGTCTCCCAACAGCTAAGGCCATGTGAGGACGGGTGCCTAGGGAGACACAGCTTGGGAGACACAGCCTGGGAGACACAGCCTGGGAGAAAGAGAATGGAAGTTACATGTACATAAAGAAAATAGATAGATCCAAAATAATGCAATGCGATCAGCAGCAGATCAATTGCGGCTACGTCCATGTCTCCGAAGAAGACACGATAGAAAACTCCCGATTCTACAATGGGGCAGCCATGATAAGATGCAGCAATGTATTGTAGGTCTTTTCCCTCCGAACCTTCATGAGTTTGGTGAACGAGGTTTTGCACTGTATTTCTCAGATGTTCCTTTTGGCTGTTTTTGCGTATTGCAATCCCAGAAAATATTTATAATATTTATCCTACGAATATGTTTCACTTTTGAATTTTGAGTTTATTAGGACTACTGACTATTGCTGGATGGACGATGTTTAAACCGCACTCATTCCTTTATGAACAAATCTCGATGTTTCGACCATAAAATCGTTCGTCCTCTTTCCCAAAAGAGGTGGATTCCCCGAAACAAATTCTTCAACTAAGTTGATGACTATTATGCGCAATATTTATGTTCAGAGCATAACAAATCCAAGAAGACGTACGATGATAAATTGCTGTTAACATCTGTTCATACACATTAAAAACAAATAACAAGAGAATATCTAAGAATCAACAAAACTGTCACTCGATCTGAAAATCAAAAGCAAACTGGAAAAAATATGAACAAATGAAGACCCTCAAAAGTACTATGAGAATAGGACCAGGTGTTCTGGAAGGATAAACGTCTTCTTATTCATCGCCGACACCCACTATATAAATCTAAGGTCAAATGAAGTAATGCCACGCTTCCAAAGCGGGGACCGGAGCGGAGGAATCAGCCAACCACACTATAAGTATTATAAATCATAAACATTCATGGCTCACAACGAAATAGAATATTTACCAACGATATCGTGCTTTCGACCATACAACTTGCCTACAGTCTATGTAAGCTCACATTTCTCGTGTTACTATCGAGAAAGAGAAAGTTCACGATCGTAAAATCGATGTCGTCACTCTTATCGTACAGCTTAGTAGTAAACCGTCCCTGCTTGTCATGTTGTAATGATATCAGAGGAAAGACCTGAAAACAGAACGTTTAGTGTAACATACAGAGTTTGATGTTTATAGGAGAGTTCCTGGTCAGGGGACACAATATCACGTCATTGTATGCAGGAATTCGTAATAAGCAGCATTTTACAGTAAATAAATACATTTAAGGATATACTTTCGATTTTGCACCGGTTAAAAAATGTAATGTTTTGTTTAAGTAAGTCCAATTTTAACTTGTGCCTCCATAACGTAAACAGAATTTATAATTCATAACTATATTTATATCATATTCTCGTCTTATTTTTGTTTTCGTGTCAGTCCAAATAAGGCACAAAACAACACAAACTGTTATTTTACTAACCCAAAAATTAAATTCATGGTATATTTCTATTTAGCGCCTTAATACCATAGGGACAAAAATAACCAATTTCAATCTCACTCAAGTTTTGTTTAAATTAGCATAATCATCACTTTTTTCAATATTGTTTTCATGAAGAACTCATTAAAAAGTTGTTCTTTAACTTTATACTTCAAAACTGTAGTTTTAAAAGGACTTTTTTCCCGCGGAAGGATTCTTGTAAACATTGCGTTTACGTATTGCAACGCGCACGAGAGCAACCAGGCTTTTTAAAAGGATAATTATTATAAAATTGAGTTTATAACAATTCAAATTGTAAATGTCTTAACGATGAGTTTTCTTCTTCAACTTAAAAAGTAAAATAAACGTTGTGACACACCCCTCCCATAGTTGTAAAATTAACACCCACTAGACCTGACAGTCCTTATCATCAGAGCTCAGTAAAAAGTAAGATAGATACAGACCGGGAGGGGACACACTATATAAACACGGCTATCATATGGTATCACGAAACCATCCAATGTTTCCTATCACGCGCAGATTATTCCTCTTGTTTCTAATTCTGTTAAAATTTCCTTATCTTACGAGAATTTATGTAACATTTGAAAAAGGTAACAAAAGAGGGAAGATTGGCAGAATTGCACTGAGTTCCCTGTGGCTGAGCTCATACACGTTCTTTGAAGGCTTCAGCGTTCAACTGACATTAAGGTTGCACGCTATAGTACACTGAAATAAACCTCCTGTCCGAAAGAGCTCCACTTTGATATACTGTACATCGTCAATCTTTTGTGTAGGTTTATTTGCGCGATGTTTTGAATTCTCTAAATCAGTGATTCAGCATACTCTAAACAGAGAACTAGCGGTATTCTAAAAGCTTTTCATTCTTTTAAACATCACGATTATTTATAATTGCGCTGGGAGAAGTTTCTGTATATATTTTTCTATTGTATGTATAGCTATTCACCAATGTCCTAATTTGTTAACTTATTCAACCCTGAAGACATATTTGAACCCTTCCAATTCGAAGGTTTGAATAGTTCATTATCAAATTTCAGGGGTGAATTAGTTTAAGTTTGATAATACGCTGAAAGTGTCCGTTAAAGTAAGTTATCTAAAAGTTTATCACGTTAGTCTAAATGGATCAAATAAAAAATCATGAAATATCTTGAATCTCGAAAGACTCTCTACATTAAATTTCAAGAAAAAGTGTATTTCTCGTGAAATACCATTGATTTACGCCTGTTTTAAAACAATGCTTTATTTCTATATTGTTTAACTGTTCATCGAAAATTGAAATCATTTGAGACCAAACAATATTTAAAAAGCCGTTCCCAACAATCGTGGGTCAAGGGCGTTTCTAGGCCATGACATCCTACAAATGTCAAGGACAATACAACATCTTAAATGTATTGGCGTCCCGAACTTGAGACAAGCGCCTTTTTAGTAAACTTATCAGTTCCTTAATGACCTCGTGAAGCCAGAAAATTGCACACGTTCAAAAAAAAACCTAACTAGGTCTTTGTCCTTCAAAGATGAACATAACACACACATGTGATTACACATTTAAAACTTGGTAATAGCTACAGTATGCCAACAACGAATGACATTGTATCATACAGGTGTCTCGCGTCCTTCCAGGACCCAACGGTGATGCTAGGGGCCGACAAGCTGAAAATTAAAATTGTCTTAACTACGGTTGAAACAGAGGGGTAAATGCGTCAAACCCTTATTTTACCTCCATGAAAACAAACAAAGTCAGCATAACCAATGCGATTCATATTGAACAGATTTGAGAGGATTCAGAAGCTATATAGCACAAAATCTATAAAATGAAGCCAATGTACCCTCCTCTACTTGTGAATGCAAACAAGATATCCATGAAATCATCACGATAATGTAAATGGTCAAACACAGGTTCTATTGTTTCCGCTGATACATCTAAGCACGATTTATTGATAGCGCCGCTCAAGATGTTACAAATAACTTGGTCGAAGGAATCAGGCCTGGTCTTGCCATCCCGAGATGGCAGTCATGCCAGAGCCCCTTAGGATGTAACAAATAGCATGGCCGAAAATAAACTGGTCTGCAATTGTTTTTCCTCATCCTAAAATACACACATCAAATGATGGTGGGCGCGGTACTAACATTGTTTCAAATCATTCGCGTATTGTTTTGACCTGGCAGTAGTTATCTCCCCTTCCTAACAAAACAATTCTTTGTTTATTGAGATTTCCACAAGTTTAGTCAATAGTGATTCCAGTAACAAACTGCCATCGCTAAGAACTGGCAAGCGAGGCTATCTCTGCAAATTAGCCTGGAGACACCGCTCCTGGCGAAACAAATCTATCTCCCCAAATTGAAGAGCTGATGAAGCAGGGTTTATAGTGTCGGTATCAGTGCGCGGAAGGATACAGAGCTAAACGGCAGTTTCAATACGCGAATGGATACAGGTAATCAGTCCTCCGTCTTAACAATATAAACACGGATAAGTTCGGGGTCTCTTATTTTTAGCGTACAATGTTGTTTTTAGAGAAAAGGTCTTACTAAACCAACCAATATCATCGACTTAGACATTGATCTACCAATGATAAATTGTTGACGAAGAAATCAACCGCTAGAGTATTCCCGAACAAAAAAACTCAGAGATAATGACAACATTCCGATACATTGAACACAAAAAAATATACGTCATTAAGTTGTGTGTACATTAATACATGTAACCAGTAATTGTGACGACAAATACAAGTCGAAGAGGATATTGAACCGAAACTAATGAAATGTCATTCAGTTGTGTTACCACGAAAGAAACACAGTATTGATATGTCAGCGTTCGGACGAATATGAAAAAGAAACGCCAAAAACAATTATTCGCCTATGTGCTTTTCAAAAAAAAAATCGCTTTACTCTACATATATTTCGGAACCCTTTAGACATTGATTGTCATTCTTTGACCTTTCCTGCTTTTATTGTTTGTACTTCATCTTATATCAACAGCTATTGTCATTTTAGTACGTGCCAGGTTTTGGTAGTGGAGGAAAACCGGAGTACCTGGAGAAAAACCACCGACCTTCAGAAATTACCTTGAGACCGTCATCGTAGGCCTCGAACCCGTTACCCATGGAGGGCTTGTAAGGGTAGGTGGTTAAACGATTTAACCACTCGGTCACTGTGACCCCTGTCCTTTAGTACCACCGTGACCTCTGACCTTTATAACAACTGATGATTTATGAATGGACGAAATCGCTTTATGGTACAGTATAATGTTGATTATATTTGGCTTTCTACATTGGCAAATCATTTTTAAAGAGGAGCTTTTTTATTTTGTATTTCTAGCAATTATGCAAATGAATAGACAAGTTGATATTGTAAAAAAGTCTTACCTTGATTTATGGACAATCTTCAAGCGTCCGTACCTCACCAAATCCTACAATAAGAAAAGAAAATTATCATTTTTTTGCGAAGCGTTTGTTGGATATAAAAGAAGACATATGTAGGTTTATTGTACAAATGTTATATCTGTTAATTAAAAGTTGACTTACTTTATCTAACAATACATAGATACAAATGTGTAGTCGTGTCCTTCCATCGCGTAGGAGTCGTTGACAGTCTCACGACTATGATGTCACGGTATTGTGATGTAATTAGTCGGGATACCGTGTCATCTCCGGAAGTCGTATTTAGCCCATTCCCTTAATTACACAACTGTGGACACTTTTCATTTGACGACTGTCGTAACCCTAATCAGAGACGTATGCAATATAAACGTCTCTGCCCTAATGTATTGGTGAATTTTCAACGGCATACTAAGCCATTTTCGCCCGATTTTCCGGACTAAAACTATCCTTGTTCCCTCGTTTTCTTTGTTTACCACCGCTCCCACAGACTGTTTTGTAAGCTTCCTCATTTGCCGTTTGATTGCAGGGTTGTCTGCTGTAGGAAGAAGTGGCGATGGCGAGTGTCCAGCATTTGTTATTTTGAAATAATTTAAGATCGACATTTCAATGCCTGCCTTCGTACAAAGAAACGCAACAACTGATTCAAAACCAAAATCTTTAATTGTTCTCACCTGTAACACCATTTCGTTTATGAACAGTGTTCATACTTACCTGTATTGCAGAGCAATCATGTTATTTTTAGTAACGGGGGATTTCCACTGTTGGCGGTGTAGGGCGAATTTAACACTGGGTAAATAAGAACTCTGCTGGTGAAGGGCGAAAGTTAAAATTAGTTTAGCGGGTTGAAAGTTTCCGGTTACAGTACTAGTATTGAAAGTACATAATGCAGTTTTAATTCAGACCATTCAATTCGAAATTGTGTGTGTGTCTATGATGATGGTATAATGTAGATCAATAACATATAGCTCAAGAGATGCGAATAATTTGGGGGTGTCTCTGTCCCCTTTCCTCACCCCCGATCTCCTCCTCACAAACACATTGTAATCAATATCTACAACCTTCCCATCCCTACAGGTTCGGAGTAGAATAGGCCTCCTGTATCACACGGCACGATATCATAAGAGGCGACTAATGTGTAGCCCCTAAAGAATCGTTTTTTCTTCTTTTTTTGTCGTCAGATTTGTTGACTTTTAAGAAATCATAGATAATCTGTTCTCGCAAATGCACCACCGGGGATCTACTAGAGAGACAACATTTCTTTAGGTTAATTCAACCTGAAAAAAACATGACCAAAATTGACTTTTTATGCTCGTTTCATGTAAAATTGGCCTGGAAATTTTACCTAAAATTGACCAGAAATTGATCTGAAATTGATGTCACGAAATATTGCCTGTGTAGTATATCTGTTTTGTTTCTCGCTTCCCTACTTCTATAGTGTCGCACTAGGCACGCCATTCGGAATACCTCGCCCCGATAACAGTTAATTTTATCAAATACGACCGAAGCGACAAAGGTGTTCTGAATGTCGGCATCCATCTTAATATCGTTCTGGTGTTTAAAAGACAATGTCGTACACCCCCAGACCCCCCNTGAAACCTTCACAACTGTACTTATCTCTAAATTGTTGTCAATCTTTTACTCACACATAACGTTTGACTGTAACCTGTAGGACTATTAAATTAATACCTCTCCTCACCATTACATTCTGAGCAGTAATCGAGGTAAACTTATACAGTGTATTAAATTATATAGATATACGGTATGTAAATGCTTGACCTTGAATGACCTCGAGAGGGGTGGGTTTCTCTAGGACCCTGCGGAATCCCATTAATCTTATCATTAGATGAGAAGATGCCCTCCTCCGGGATTTTGCGAAGTGTTTAAAGGTAGGTCTACACACCGAGAATGGTGAATCATACAGTTAGACGACTTAATTACACTGCTAATGATAATAGTTCCCCTCTTTGGTAAACCCATTGCAGTATTTTGGATGATCTTTATATTTCCCTCCACTTCTAACTACCTTTATAGCCTTGCTTGGCAACATTTCAATTAGACTGTAATGTTGAACGTTTGCTCAGGTGAGGAAGGCCATTGGTTTTGTCCCCATGCCGGGGCAGACGCAGCCTGCCTCTTGCACACATACACATTTGCACGTTCCTACATCTCATAAGGAGGTACGTCCCTAAAAGAACAAAATAAAACCAAATCAAAACCTCTTTACTCTCCTTGTCCTCTTCCCTATTCTTGAGATAGGGACTAAAGCGTTTCTTAGGGAACGTTCGTTTCCTCTCGTGCTTGAATCTGTCAAACACAACAATGTATGTAGTTAACTTACGATTTTAAAAACACTGGGCTTGAACTAGATGGTAGACATTTAAGCGCCCGTGTTGAAATTCATATCTTGATGACGTCATAAATAGACGCATCTATTCCAAAAACCACTGGTTTCTGTGTTATATTATCTTTTAAGTGTTTCTGTATTAAGACTTAAATAAATTATTATCAAAAATTGCCAGAGGTGAACTTCCTTTTTTTTCCGTCTATAGACGCGGTGAATGCAATGAATTAGAGAGGTTATCAGCATAAAAAAAGCTTTTCTAATTAAATACATTCATCATTTTACTTCCAGAATAGCCGTTTCCTACATATATTGCCTCTTTAATGAGCTAACAAACGTGTGTTCCCCAGTACTTTATATCAAGAAGGAGAAACCAATTTGATCAAATGTTGATACAACATATGTCACAAATCTGGTCTTCACACTAAACACAGTTTAACCCACGATATTTTCGGAACTTCAAAAGAAGAAGATTAAATTAGATATAAGCATAAAAATTTACAGAGATTCGTTGTATTAAAACCTTATGAGAAGTCAGTTATAAATTTAAACGTATCTAGAAGATCGGGCAAACATTTGTCAAGGTTATTTTATACCTGATCAATTTTTAATTTCTCCAGCGTCAGTTCATACCTCTCCGGTATAACATTATATTCCAAATTTGTTTCTAAATTGTCCCTTATACATACTCGACTTTGTTGTTTTTAGGGAACATATTTCAGTTGTTAAAATACCTGTTGGCATCATCAGGTAAGACTTTTTATCTCTAGCACACTTTGTATTTGCAATAGTCCGACCAGCAAGTCCACCGCCGTTAGTATGAACCTTAGATCAAAAGCTTGAATACCAATGCATACCGGTGACCTTTTGAGGACCTTCGATCAAAAGCTTGAATACCAATACATAACAGTGACCTTTTGAGGATATTGGACCCAAATCTTGAATACCAATGCATACCGGTGACTTATTGAGGATATTGGACCCAAATCGTGAATACCAATGCATACCGGTAACCTTTTGAGGATATTGGACCCAAATCTTGAATACCGATGCATACCGGTGACTTATTGAGGATATTGGACCCAAATCTTGAATACCAATGCATACCGGTAACCTTTTGAGGATATTGGACCCAAATCTTGAATACCAATGCATACCAGTAACCTTTTGAGGACCTTGGACCCAAATCTTGAATACCAATGCATACCAGTAACCTTTTGAGGACCTTGGACCCAAGTCTTGAAAACCGATGCATACCAGTAACCTTTTGAGGACCTTGGACCCAAATCTTGAATACCAATGCAAACCAGTAACCTTTTGAGGACCTTGGACCCAAGTCCTGAAAACCAATGCATACCAGTAACCTTTTGAGGACCTTGGACCCAAATCTTGAATACCAATGAATACCAGTAACTTTTTGAGGACCTTGGACCCAAATCTTGAATACCAATGCATACCAGTAACTTTTTGAGGACATTGGACCCAAATCTTGAATACCAATGCATACCAATAACTAACTGTGGACTGTGGATCAACAGTTTAATACGAGCACAGGGCCAGTAACTAAGCATGGACCTTATATCGAAAACTTGAATACAAACACAGGACCAGTAAATAAGTATGGACCTTAGCTCCAAAGCTTGAATACAAACACAGGACCAGTAAATAAGTATGAACCTTAGATCCAGAGCTTGAATACAAAAACAGGACCAGTAATTAAGTATGGACCTTATATCCAAAGCTTGAATACATACTCAGGACCAGTAATTAATTATGAACCTTAGATCCAGAGCTTAAATACAAAAACAGGACCAGTAATTATGTATGGACCTTAGATCCAAAGCTTGAATACAAACACATGGCCAGTAATTAAGTATGAACCTTAGATCCAGAGCTTGAATACAAACACAGGACCAGTAATTAAGTATGGACCTTAGATCCAAAGCTTGAATACATACACAGGACCAGTAATTATGTATGGACCTTAGATCCAAAGCTTGAATACAAACACAGGACCAGTAATTATGTATGGACGGTGAATCTAATGCTTCAGTACCGACCACAGAAATTATAGTGGGGATGTGTACAGACAAAAAACACCGACAACCTCACTCGGCATAGCATTGTCTGTAGTATTCCGGTATGTATCACCAATGTGTATTAATGGTAGGTAGGTCACTCACACAAACCCCAGTGTATCACAAATTCTCATCATTACACTATTAGCCGACTACACATAACTCGCCTCCACGACTACTGTTCCGCCCTCCCTGCCGTATCAGTAACGGCTCCCGACAGTCTCACATCAAATGCTTTGACCTCTCCTGCTCCTGCTACTTAGCAGTAATTAGGGGTTTATCAGACACGACTGGTGTCAGCTTGACTCGAATTATCTCCCCTTGCTAATAAACAAGATTATTTACCGCAATGGTTTAACTGCATCACAATTATCTCCCCTTACTTACTTTGCATGATGCTGTCGACAAAATTGATTGGAAAATCCAGCAATGACATATATCAGCGTGCGGTTAGAATTATCTCCCCTTGAAGTACAGCGGGATTCCACACGCATGCGATCCCCTTTAAGCTATCCAACTGGGTGAATAAACACTTCTAAATCCTATGTGTGTAGGGCAAAAACAAACTATTTACTTACACAAGAAAATTCCCAAACCTCTTAGTGAAGTA